ATTAAAACAAAACCAACAAATCTTTGGCAAGTTCCTCACAGCAGCCAAGCCTATCCCGCCACGGCAAAGGCTCCCCATGGAGGCCTCCTGCCCTAATTTGCAGCAATTCTTTGTCAGACCACTGGCAAACACCAAACGTTTGCTCCAATCTGTTACATAAGGCCCAATTTTTAAACCTGTGTGCTGGCCGTGGGGAGATGAGGGCACACTGTGTGTGGCAGGGCAACCTGGCTGGCAGGTGAACTCACACACTCCTCAGAATGCACTTCCACACCTCCAACCACTTGTTGTGTGGAAAGAATACAAATGGATTAGTTAAGGAGACAACTTCCAAAGGTTTTACACACCTTTCAACCCGGGTCCAGGCTAACACTAACTGTTTGGAACGGACTGATATCACAGCAACTCAAAAGAGGTTTGTGAAACTCTGCTCTTTAACTTTTAAAATACACCAGACGCGGCAAGTCTTCATGTTGCCCAGTGCACAAAACAAAAGGCACCTTCCTGACCATCCCCACAACTTCCCGTTGTTTGCTCCCCGAGATCCAGACCCAGCTCCTGGCTCAGCTCCCTCCTGCCAGCCAGCGACAGGAGCCACAGGCCTCCCCGGCAGAGCTGCTCCTCATTTGCAAACCTCAGGACAGCTCAAGTCGGCTCCTGTCTGCTGGGGGCAGGAGGGGGAGGGCAGTTTTCCCTTTTCTCACATTCATCCTCACCCGCTTCGCTGAAGAAAAAAAAGCCGTTTTAAATACCAGGTTCAGCACAGTCCTTTCCCCAAATAAACACTTCCCAACCCCTCTGGAGAGAGGAAAGCCACATACAAAGGAGCCAACATCCTGCGAGGCTCAGGCAGGCCGGGGCAGGGTGCGGGCCGGGGGGACACGCGGGGAGGATCCGACCCCATCCCTGCCGCCCAGCCGGCCTGGGGGGCACTGGGGGGCTCGCACCCCTTCCCCGGGGCCACAAAACAGCCGTGGCCGAGAGGGGACGGAGCGAGGCGGCCCTGGGCCCTCAGACCCCGGCCCAGTCTGACCCCAACGCGACCCCAAAGCCTCCCCCACCCCCCGATCCCAGCCCGACCCCCACAGCCCCCCACTGCTCCCCGGCCCAGACCGAATCCCCCTCAGCCCTACCACCTGGCCACCTCCCCGGGCCAAGCCGGGGCCTCTCCCGGCACCTCCGCGACCCCCACAGCCCCTTCCTCTCTCCAGGCCCCTCCCGGCGCTCAACCCCCTCCGCCACCGCCCCGGCCCGGCCGCCCCCGCCCGCGGCGCCGCCCGGCCCGGCCGCCCCTCCCCGGTGCCGGCCGTGCGGAGCCGAGGCCGCAGGGCCCCCGCCGTCCCCCGGTGCTCCTCTGGTGTTACCTCGGCGGTCCCTCAGCGCCGGGCGGCGGCGCCGCTGCCCCGCGGCCGCTCCCCCATGGCGGCGCCCCCGGCCCGGCCCCGCTCGCCTCCCCTCCGCCGCTGCGCCAACGGCGTACGGCCCGCGCTGCGCCAACGGCGTACGAGCTGTGCCGCGCCCGTGCGCGCCCGCGCGCCAGCGGCGCAACCGCGCTTCGTGAATACAGGCCGCGGGGCGGAGCGCGGCGCAAGCGCAGCGGGCGCGAGGGTGGCGGCGCAGCGGCGCTGGCGTAGGGCGCGTTCGGGAATAGCGGCCGGCAGGCGGCGGCGTGGCTTTGCGGCAGCGCGGCGCGCTTTACGGCAGCTCCGGTTAACCCCGCGCTGCCCGGCGCCGCTGTCGGGACGGGCGCCCCTGTCGCGACAGGGCCCGCGCTGCCTCAGCGCCCTGCAGGGCTGGAAGGCGCAGCTCCCACACAGCGAACGGGCCACGCTGTAGGGTGCCCTGTAGGGTCCCAGCCCACTGATATGGCTCCGATGTGGGTTGTCGCGCCGCTGTCGCGACTTGGATGCCACCGTCCTACGGGTGCAGGGAACAGCATGGGAGGCATCGACCCAGTTATAGGGGACAGGCCATAATATGTGAGTGAGCCTCGCACCACAGGATATCCCTGTTCTGGGGTACAGTCCCCGTGTTTGGTTACAGCCCCATTCTGGGGTACAGTCCCTGTTTCGGGGTACAGCCCCTTTTTGGGGCACAATTCCCTCACCCCCACATCCATCCACACTCCAGGCCCTCTGGGGCAACCTCGGGATAGGGACTGGCGGTGCTGCAGAGAGGGCACAGCTGTGGCACCCCATCCAATGGGAACAGAGGGAAGCCAGGGTGGGATTTCACAGGCATTGTCACCTTTTTGGGGACATCAGCCCCGAGCAAAGCCACTCTGAGGGAAACAGAGGCACTGCCATTCCAGTGTCTTGCAGGGAACAGAGCTCCAGGATTGTGGGATCTGCTGGGACAGGAACTGAGCAGGGACACAGACGCCACTGCCACCTCCTAAAGCCTTACATTTCCTTCTGATTGATCACCTGGGGACAAATAGTCCATCCCTATACTCAGCAAAGGAAGGCAGAGCCAGAGGATAATTTCTTTCTCACCCCTATTTTCTCAATCCCCAAGTCTGAGGCTTTCAGGGTAAGGCTGGAGGGAGGGGACACCCCTGCACAACCCTGCTGGTCACATCTTCACCACAGCATGGAGCAGATGCACCCCAAAAGTATTTTCAGGCAATAGGCAAATGAGTTTGTGTGGGTTTGGGGGACAATCAGGTCTCCACCATCACCCCAAGTACCCATTTCAGCATTTCCAACTACTTGAGTTGCTTCTCTCTCCTGTTGCAGAAATGTTCCAGGGCAAAGCTCTCCCCACAACGTTTGGCTGGAGAACTTTTCCCTATGGGTATTTGCTCTAAAATCAGCGGTTTTTGTAGGAGGATCAGGAAAATTCTGAATGTGTGAATTCCAGCTGCTCCCATCCTGTTCCTGTGCTGTGACCTGGCTCAGGAGGGTGTTGAGGTGCTGTGACACATGTCCTGCCCCTGGAGAGGATAAAACCACCCCTGGAGAGGATATCTCCCCTGAAGAAGATAAAATCACTCCTGGAGAAGATAAAATCACCCTGGAACCCTCCCTTTCCTATTTGCCCCATCCCACCCACCCCCCAGTCTGCAATTTTGTGGTGATTTCACGCATTTTAAGAACTCACAAGTTGTTCAGACATTTGTCTGGAGAATTGAACCATCCTCTGGAGCAGGAGAGTTAGGAAGAAAGGAATTTTGATTTTATTTCAAGGCAAATCTCCAGCGGTGAGCACAGGGTGTGCCAAGGGCCTGCAGAGACACGAGCAGCTCATGCCATGGAACCAGCACGGGGAGCAAGAAAAGCCAGGGAATTTCTGTTGGGAAATCATCCAGCCAGGAACCCTGTCCCTCTGCTGTGGGCACGAGACAGTTGGGGCTCATTCACAAGCAGACAACACAAAGGAATCACTGTGACTGCACAGGGGAATGGGAGAATGAGCTGCTCCAGGGTGGGTGGGCAACACCTTCCCAGCTGGAACATCCTGGAAACTGCAGTGACACAAACACAGCAAGAACCAGAGAAAAGGAAAAGCCAGGTCCTCACAGTGTCCCTCACATGCTGATGCCAGCAATCCAGAGCTTTTTATGAGCTCCTCATGGTGGCTTAGCTACACAGCCACCCCCATTCCTGAATCTGGGAACATTCCTGACAAACCCTGCCCAGTCCTCCTGCAGCAGAGGCAAAAAACCCTCTCATTCCAAGTGCCAAGGTCCTGCTCGAGCAGCAGCTGGAGCAGGAGCTTAAAATTTGCCTCAGACTCTGAGGCCCTGGAACAAGAATTTGAGGAAAATCCAACTCATCCTCATGCTCAACACATCAGGATACAGAAGCAGCTGTAAGGAACCACTGTCAGAGAGAGAAGGATGGTGAGGGTCAGGCAGGGGGAACCTGGCACAAGGCTTTGGAGACAGGGAAGACACTGAGATCAGCAGATGTCACATCAACAGCTGTGAGGGGAATGGCTCTTCCAGGATTAAATATCTGCCATGGAGTGGAACTGGGGTATGACACCACAATATGGTGATTTCTATATTCCCATCTGGAGTGTTGTGACCAGCTCTAGGGTCCTCACACAAGAAAGACGTGGACCTATGGGAATGAGTCCAGAGGAACCACGGAGATGCTCCAAGGGCTGAAGCCCCTCTGCTCTGGGGACAGGCTGGGAGAGCTGGGGGTGCTCACCTGGAGAAGGATCCAGGAAGAACTGAGAGCCCCTTACAGGGCCTAAAGGGGCTCCAGGAGAGCTGGAGAGGGACTGGGGACAAGGCATGGAGGGACAGGACACAGGGAATGGCTTCCACTGCCAGAGGGCAGGGCTGGACGGGATATTGGGAAGGAATTGTTCCCTGGGAGAGTGGGCAGGGCTGGCACAGGGTGCCCAGAGCAGCTGTGGCAGCCCCTGGATCCCTGGCAGTGTCCCAGGCCAGGTTGGACATTGGGATTGGAGCAGCCTGGGACAGTGGAAGGTGTCCCTGCCATGGCAGGGGTGGAACTCGATGGACTTTAAGGTCCCTTCCAACACAAACTATTCTGGGATTCTGTGATAGCTTTGGAAAAACATTTTGGGCAATCAATTCAGCCACATGCTAAAGGGATTCAACTCACCTTCGCTGTCCAAGCCCATTTACTTCAGGGGTAACAGTCTCCTTCCAGGCAGTAACTGGGGAAAGCAGACACCAGCACTGCCAGGGGCTCTCTGCACTATGGAAAGGTCACAAAAATGACCCCAGTGCTTGGGAGATGGGACTTTCCCCACACCTCTGTTCTCCAAGCCCGTTGTTGGAAGATGGGAACAATGGCAGCACCTTTAGTCAAAGCTGATGGGGCATCTCTAAGAGTACAAACCACAAGAAGCCACTCACACCAGTCCCCAGCACAGAGGATGAGCCTCATCAATCAATGTGCTGTTCTTTTACAGAGAAAACAACATGCAGTGGGAGACTTTGGAGGAACACAGAGATTTTGCCATTTCCCTCTGCCAGATAACTCTGGTTACCTAGGAACAGACACTTCTCCGATGCGGCCAGTTCTCCTCATCAAGCACAGGATGAGCATTTATTGTCTTGTGATCAGGAGAAAAACACAAACAAAACCCAGAGCTCCACGGGTGACATGAAACATCGCACACAGACACGCCACGTGACACCCGACCACACCAGGAGCCAGGGCCGGGTTAACGATGTTAAGAACTTTTAGAAATCTAATGTAAACATTTAAAAACATACAGGAGTCCAAAAAGAAAAAAAGAAAAAATTAAGCCACGGTTGTTCAGGCAGCGTGTTGGGTCAACTTTCTGGAATTACGGTTTCTGGCATCGAAGAGGAGGGAGGGGGATGAGATGGCAGCTCCCACCTGGAGGTGCTTTGATCTCCACAGGGATCTCAGGCAGTGCAGGCTCTAATAGGGGGAGATTTTGGTGTCCGGCTCCAACCATCCCGGTGGGCAGGCTCCTAGGCACCCCCTCTCCTTGCATCAAGCATTTCCAGTGTGACTGAGGGTGGGTGCTTCAACACAGCCCCAAATTCTCCAAGGGGAAATTCCCAAAGAGAGCAGGATGTGGAGCCCCCAGCAAGGCTTCTCCTCTTGGTTCCTTCGAAACCTCCAACGTGACACACTGAAACGGGGCAGGTATCAAATGGTTTGGAAGAATTTTGGCAAGAGGCTGAGGATGGCGAGGGGCAGGACCAAGGGACACGGGTGCACCATGTCCTGGCTCCCAAGTGTGGCCAATGCCACCTTTAGCCCCAGGCACCCTCACCCCATGGTGCATCCATCGTATTTCCAGGGAGTCAACGCCAGGCAGTTCTTTCATCACTCTGATGGCAAGCGACAAAGAACACTTAAAATTACACTTGACACTAGACAAAGGCACCTAAAAGCTTCACAATGCCATCAGGCCTTGTTAAGAAGGCTCCAAGAGCTCGTCCTCCCAAGCACATTGCACACTCTCCAGGAAAAACCTCTGGTGTTGGGAGCACATTCCACGTCCCAGAGCCACTGCAGGGCTGCTCCTGCAGCAGAGGGTCAGTGTGGCTGTAAACGGAAATCTGGGGAGGCTCTGCCCTCCCATCTGGGGTTGCTTTTGCTTTGGCCCTGGTAACACAGGGGTCATGCAGACTCCAGACTGTGCTTCCCTCATTATTTACAGTGTGACACAGGACGAGTTAATAGGGACACGGAATTCTGCAGGGGCGAGGGGGAAGTGGGAGCTCTCCTCTGTGAATCATGATTTCATTAGATAAGGCACATGTAGAGAAAAATTTTCAAAAGACCACTTGCAAATCAATTCCACCTAGCTAGGACCATGTCCCTGTCCCTTTCCAGGAGCCAGTTTTGTTTTCCAGTTTCTCAGTGTGAATTTGGGAATTTGGAATAACCTCATCAGCCTGCCAAGGCAGCAGGCTCTGTGTCTGATCCCCAGGGTGCCCAACCCCTCCTAGGTCTCCCAAATGGAGCACTCTAGATCATTGGCCAAAACTTTGAGAGCCAAAGACTTGGAACACTCACTCCCTATAAAAAACTTGGGAACTGACCTCCCAGTTTGGACAGGTTTGAAAAAATTCACAGCAGGCTGAGGGGGAAGAGGAAACTGCAGCCTTTGCTGCCTGGATCACTGTAGGACACAGGGAATTGGATGGCTCAGGCACAGAATGGAGATGAATGACAAGGTGGAGGATAATCTCAGGGAAAACAATCCCTCTCAACAGCTTCATCCTCCCTTCAGCTGATCCTTGGAGAAAAGCAGGAATCTCTCCCTCATGGAAGTCCTGCCCGCCACAGAGCCAACAGCAGCCATGAGGACTAAGAAGCTTCCCCTGGTGTCCCAGACCCCACTGTAATGTTTGGAGTTCAGATACACCAGCAGAAGGCAGAATTAAACTATTCATTTTAACAGAAGGATTTCCAAACCACACTAGGGCTCCAGCACTGAGATCAGACATTATCTTGCATCCAGCTCCTGGCTGGGAACCCAGGAAAAAGCTGTCCCAACAGGACAAAGTGTGTCCAGTGAGGCATTTCTTGGGCCAGCACAAAACCGGGATGGAAGTTACATGGTGGGGAGATCTCATGCTGAGTCCCTGTACCAGGGTGAACATCACCAAGGCCCAGTGTCAGCTCTGCACTGGTTTCCACTGGGCTTTGGTTCAGGCTTTAGTGAGAAATCATGAACCTAAGGAGATGAATCTGCCCCTTTGGAACACAAGATCCAGCAAGAGGTTTTGGCAGCAGGGAAAGCAAGACCTGTAGCATCACAACAGTCTGAGCCAGGCAAATGAGGACTTGTGGGGACTTCACATCCGAGGACTCACCCAGGGCACGCTCTGTTACCTTGCAGGGATCCTCCCACGGAGGGTGGAGCTTTCACAAATCACTTCAGTGTCACCAGTACCAAATAATTTAAGTGCTGCATTTCCCTTAGAGTGAAAATTTCCACATCATTCATCAAGGAGAATAAACATCAGTTACTACTAATGCTCTGATTGCTTTTGCTGCAGACGGTGTGGTGCTGTGCTGGGCATTCCATGGCAGCTGGGCACGAGCAGGGGCAGCTGTGGGAGTGTTGCCATCGCAGGGAAGCCGAGCCTTTTCCAGGGATGGTCAGGAGAGAATTCCCTCAAGCAAGGGCAGTGAAGGGTTTGTTCTCAGTCTGCAACGAGGCAAATACTGGTGACTCAAGGCAAACAAAAAGCTTTCTGCCATGGCCGTGCAGTGCAGTGGAGGTGGGAAGGGCTGAGAGCATGGATATTCTGCAGGGATCAGGAGACAAGAACCAGAAAGGTCCCCCAGATGAGTGGGGTGCTTGGGGGGGAATGCAAATGATCTTTTCCAAGAACAAGAATAAAAAGACCAAAAAGGAGAGAATCCAGGCAGTTTGCAGCTGTTGCTGTTTAAGGCCATTGGTTTCCAGAGGGGTAGTTGGGCACTGTGGGGTACTCTGGCAGGCTGTTCCCAGAAAAATTGCTGTACTGGGCCTCCCTGCTGGGAGGGTTCCTCCATGCACCGCTGTTCCACTCATCTTGAGCCTTCTGGAAGCTTCCACCAGCCCCTCGATAGATTTTATGTACCTAAGGGATAAAAGGGAGGACAAGAGGAGAGTCAGCACCAGGAGCCCAGAGCTGTGCCCCTGCAGAGTAACTGGGGAAGAGGATCATGGGTATGTTCCTCTCTCTGTGAAGAGCTGGATTTCCAAGGAACAAAGCACAAAAAATGCAGTAATGCAGTGAACAGAGGTGCAGATAGAGAATTATCAACCCAATACTTGAACACATTTCAGCTGCATGCCCAGAATTCAGGTGGGGGATCCACAGCAAGGCAGCCAGCCCAGGCCAGGGGCTTGAAACCTCTCCAACACAGAGTCCAACACCACAGAGCTTCTGTTTTCCCTGCCTGCCAAAGCTTTCCAGAGCCCTGTAAATCCTTGTTTCTGCAGAGACACAATTCCCACCCTGCCACCTGGTCCCCACTGCAGATACTTCACCACTGACCATCCCAAAGACCAACAAATCATGGAATCATAGGATTGCTGAGGCTGGAAAAGACCTCCAAGACCACCAAGTCCAACCATCAGCCCAGCTCCACTATCATGTTCATCACTAAGCCATGTCCCCATGGGCTACATGCACACATTTTTTGAACACTCCCAGGGATGGTGATTCCACCACTACCCTGGGCAGCCTGTTCCAATGCTTTACAATCTGTTCTGTGAAAATAAATGTCTCCTAATATCCAATCCAAACCTCCCCACTTCATACAGCCTCAGGTTACTCCACATGAAGCGTGCTTTGTATGACATAAAGCAACATCACCACATGACACTGTGACAATTCCCAGCCTGAGCTGTCTTGTGCTGTCTAGATTTGTCCCCCAGAAACTCTGAGAGATATTAACTGACTGCATTGTGCAACCTTTCAAAGCAGTGATGGCTTGTGGTGGCTGCTGAGCTGCCTCTTCACATTATTGTGATACACAGCAGGGATTCTCCAAGGCAGAGAGAGATCTGAAGAATCCCAGAATGGTTTGGGCTGGAAGGAACCTTAAAACTCATCTCATTCTGCTCCCCTGTCATGGGCAGGGCTACCTTCCACTAGAAGAACCTACCCTTATAATGCAGATGAGCATTGCGACCGCTGACATGGTGAACATGATGGCAGGGAACAGCATGAACACAGCAGCTGCCACGCTGGTGCTGAAGAAGGTGATGGCTGCCAACCATCCACTGGAAGAAACAGAAAAAGAGACACAATATCATTATATTCTGTTTTTCAAAGTGTCCTTGTTATCAGAAAAACTGTTTACTTGCTTGTAAGGCCCTGTCAGAGGTTGCCCAGAGCAGCTGTGGCTGCCCCTGGATCCCTGGAAGTGTCCAAGGTCAGGCTGGATGGGGCTTGGAGCAACCTGGTCTAGTGGAAGGTGTCCTTGCCCATGGCAGGGGATGGAATGGGATGGGCTTTAAGGTCCCTTTCAACCCAAACCATTCTCCATTTCTGTGATTCATAACCCAGAAATTACAATTCAGCTTTTACGCTCTTGAAAATGAAATGAACAATGAAGATAATTGACAGCATTCAATGCAGGTATTTCCCCAAGATCTCAACTCTCACTTGCCAGCATTCCTCACTAATCCAGTCTGAGGGCTTTAAGGGACAGTCAGCTGCATGGTGTTTGGGAAGAGAAGACATATTCCCAAGGTTCTGCATCTGGAGACCAGAACTGGGATCAGGGAACACTATGGTCCTGTGATTTACACTCCATCTCCATTCCTTTGCTGGCAAAAACCAGGTGAGGCATCAGCAATTCTGAAATGAGAGTGTTAAATGGAGTGCTAAGACTTTCCATTACTTGTAGTTTCAGCAGAAATTGCTCTCAAGTCTCTACAGACAGGAAGTTAAAATGCCAAACAATTATAACACAACCAGGGACAGACACTAACAAGCTCCCATTTATTTTAGGAGAACTCTCACAGTACTTCTCATAGGCCAACAGTGAGTCACCACACTCAGCTCACCGTGTGCTGCAGCACTGAGGGCACTGCTGAGCTGACACAGGCTGTGTAAATGGCAGAAGAAATGGACACTGAGGGAAGAGGCTACAAAGAGCAACCAGGTGAAGATCACAGAATGGTTTGTGTTGGAAGGGACCTTAAAGCTCAGTCAGACCACATGGGCAGGGACTCCTTCCACTAGACCAGATTGCTCCAAATCCAATCCAACCTGGCCTTGATTTCTGCCCAACACAGCAATGAAACCCAAATGGTGCATCCCAAGAGCAGATACAGCTCTGCCACTGAGGAAATCAGAAAGCCTCTTCCTCTCCACCTTGTACAGGTTCCCATCAGCCTCTCCAAGTCCATGGAAGCAGGCACAGCCCTGATCTCCTGGGCCTGCTGAACATTGCCACTTACCACGCTCCCCATCCAGAGAAGCCGATCGCCTGCAGGACTGTGAGGAGGAACTGTGCCCCGAAGATGAAGAAAAAGGCCATGAAATTAAAGGAACTGTCTGACCTGTGGAGGAAGAGAGGAGGTCAGGGGGGCACTGGCACCTTGTGCTGCTCCACACCTATGTCTGAGCCCACCACCACATTCAAACCCTCCACAGTGCTGACTCCAGAGGGTTCCCTCCATGGCTGTGTGCTGGGAGGCTGCTCCCCTTCCCTGGCAGTGAAAGCACACAGCTCCATGACTCAGCAGCACAGATTGGCTCCCAATAACCTGCCTCTTGCAGTTGCTCTCCCCAAGGAATTGCACATATGATGACACACAAGGAGAGGCTGAGGGACACGAGTCTCCTACACAGAGAGTCTGAATCATTCCCTGACCAAACGTCAGCCCAGCCTGACACCTGCCCGGCTCCACCCTGGCAAGGAGGCACGCAGGGGCCTGATGCTGGCAGGCAGAGCCTGTCCATGCACTAAAAATGATCACTGAGCACGAGAATTCCAGCTGGGAATGTCTCAGTGGCTGCCTGTCATCATGTTCCCACGCCCATGGTAAATCATCCAGCACTGGGACATCATAGAAAGGAAAACAGCCATGAGAGAGGTGGGTGGTACCATGAAAGCAGAGGCACACTTCCCATCTCTGCAGGCTCCCCATGCTCAGGATGTACAGGTGAGGTCCTTGAGTTTATGCAGGTTCAGTAACTAGCATGAAAATTACCCTAAGCAAGGGACATTCAGAGTCTCTGTCATGGGTGCACTGGGGGCCTAGCACTGCCCTGTCCATGTCTGGGCTCTGCCACAACACATCTTCATCCCATCAAACCAGCTACATCAGGCACATCTGAAGTTCCTCAAACTATCATTATTAATGATACAAATGATTCCCATACTCTAAGGAACTCAAAGGGCCAATGATTTATCTACAGATGTACAAAAAATGCTTGTGAGGCAGTTTGGTGCAAAGGAGAGTTTAGAAAAGAGCTCCAATCACTGCCAGCTCCTGCTTAAGCCCTGAAAGTATTTAAATGGTTATTATTTTAATTATTTTTATTATGCTAATGGTTGTTAGTTTTATAATTCTAGCTTCTGATGCCTTGGGAGGAGATGGGGGAGGTGAGGCACGTGGAGAAGCCTCCAGTCAGACCCACGCTCCTCGGAGCTGCCCGTGTTGGTCTGGGTGTCTGTCACAGATGGTGGCTCTGGAAGATTTGTCATCCTTGAATATCCTCACAAACCCACCCTTCAAATACCACCTCAGAGTACAGCAATGTGAAAGAAATACTTTAGGCAGGGCCTGCTGACAGTAGTGCCTGTCAGAATCCAATTAACAAGGATTAGGCTTGAGGCTGAGCCTTCAAACAGACTCTTCCAACTCCGACCTGAAGGGGCTGGAGGAGTCTTCATTTGAAAGGATCTGCAGGAATTAGTGAGGATACAGAGAAAAGGTGATTTCTCATCCAGCTTTCTGGTGCAGATTTGCTACAGCTTTGCCCTAGCACCAAAGCTCTGCAGCTAATTTAATTTGGGATGCAGCGGGATGACGAAGGTTTTACAGAAGCTTCCTCCAAGGACAGGGTGCCAGCACTGAAGGGTGGCCTCCTCCAGGACAAGCAGGGCTGATTTTGCCTCTGGAATCACCACGTGTGATCCCAGCAGTGCTGCCCCTCTGCAGTGATTTCCAAGCCTCTTCCCAACCGCTGTCCCAGGGGATGATCCCTGGGCTCCCCACTCTGTCCCTGGGCTTGAGTCTTTTTATAACTGCAAGCCTCTGCACAGAGTAACCTCGGGGACCTCTCAGCATTCACTTGCATAAACACATCCAAACAACGTTCAAGGAATAATGAGAAACGTTCCTGTGGAGCCTGGGGGAGGTCAGCAGGGAGGAGTAATTTTTCCCAGACTTTAGAATGGAAATTCTTCTTTGAACAGAGCTCCAGCACTTGGAGGCCCTGGGGCTTCTGGGCTCAGGATGGGGACAAACTCCAGCCCCAGAGGGCAAGAGTTCAGAGCTGGGCTTTTCATGTCATTTGGAACTTTGAGACAAATCCAACCCTCCTCTTTCCAGCAGAAATGACCCTCTCCTGTACTCCACCATGCCATTGGTGATTTAACAGCCCCTGCCCAGTGCTGTGGGCACACAAAGCAGCAGTTCAGAACAATTTAAACAATTAATTTATCATGTGCCAGACAGGACTCACCTGCCACCTCCCATTTCCATCAGCTGCTTTTGCTGTTATCCAAACCAGCTCATCACAGGTGAATAAGCAAAATCCAGAGTATCCTACCAGGAGGAGCTTCACCTTTAGAGGGCAAACCTCTGACTCGTGTGTGGTGGTGGGCAGGCCCCTCCTTTCCCTGTGTCAGGCTGGGAACTGCTCAGGACCCTCCTAGCTCTGCCAGGCTTTACACATTAATGTTTGAGTGATTTGCTGTGATGCCACAGCAAATGCAAATGATTATTAATTAAAGAAAAAATGTAAGATGGCTTTAAATATTTGTGGAGTTTCAGAAGGACTGACTCCAGGGAACTGCTTTTATCTAAAAAGCTAAGCAGACAAACTCTCAAGTAGCTGGAAAGAGAAATCAGAAGAGTTCTCAAAAACTAGTAATAGTCTTCCATCAAAATAAGTCTCAATGAAGCTTTACCGAATTAGTACCTATTTTAATGCTAAACTGAGATGAGGGTGTTTCAGATATTTAAGTAAAATATGAATTTAACCCTCTCAGAAGTGACAAACTGCTCACTCCAATCTTATGTGACCCTCAGTCCTGTATCTAGTATTTAAAAGTAGCCACATTCATCTTCATTTTGAAAGTAAACAAGACATTCAGACATCAGGTGCTGAACCTTCATCCCAGCCAGAGAGATCTCCCCCCAATAACAACCAGGGAAACTTCCAGAGGGAACTGGACCAGAGGCAGCTCCTGGGCCTGTACTCACCGGAAGGCTTTGTAGGCAGGTCGGAACCAGCAGACGTAGCCACAGGGGCTGAAGAGGATGAGCCAGAGGATGGCCAGGCCAAAGTTGACCCCGTAGCCTCCCCCAATCCACCAGGCCAGGCAGGCAATGAGGTTCACGGCCAGCGTGATGCAGTAAACTGGGAAAGGGCAGAGGAGGGAACGTGGGATGGGGAAATTCCAGGAATTGGTGAGAAAAAGAAACAAAAGATAATGGCTGGGGTTGTGTCAGGGCTTGGCATGGAGCTCAGGGAAAGGTTCTTCCCCCCGAGGGTGCTGGGCACTGCCCAGGCTCCCCAGGGAATGGTCCCGGCCCCAAGGCTGCCAGAGCTCCAGGAGCTCTCAGGGATGCTCAGGGGGGATTGCTGGGGTCTCCTGGCTAATGCCAGAGCTGGACTGAAGGTCCTTGTGGGTCCCTGCTAACTCAGGATATCTCAGGACTCTACAAAGCCCCCAGGGTTACAGGGAAGGGTCCCTGGGGCAGCAGTGCAGCTGCTCTGAGTGAGTCACAGGCTCCCATGTGACCTGGAGCTGGGAGCACAGAACATCCAGCTCCAGAGGGATCCTGCAGCACAGGGATGAGGGAACTCTTTTATGACCTGTCAAAACATGGAAAGCTTAGGAAGCAACTGATGTGACCAATACAAGACTCAGGCCAGTGTTATTATGAATTATGAGCAAGGTCTAATTTCCATTTATAGCAAAACCCCTTTGTGAAAGGAGAAGGGGTGACCCTAGCCCTGCTCCCACCTCTGAATGACTGTGCTTGCTGGGGCTGCCTCGGGAGCTGTCTCTGAGCCAGCTCAGTGCCTTGCAGGCTCTCTCTGCTTCCCTGGGCCTCTGAAGAAGCCTGGAGATCAGCTTGGGGGCTTGGCAGTGCTGCCTTGAGCAAGGGGATAAACAAACTCCAATCAGGCTGAGAGCATGGGACCATAGGGGTGGCTTAGAGGCCTTTTCACATCCCTGTTCCTGTCACTTGGATAAAAAGGAACAGTTGATAAAGGCCCCAGAGCACAGCAGTGCTGCACTAAGTAGTGTAAGTAAGTAGTGTATACTGAGTATACACTTAGTATATATATAGAGTTCTACTTAGTAGTAGTATACTAAGTAGTAGTATATGAAGGGATGCTGCTCCCCCATTTTCCTGGAGCTCACATCCCTGGAAAGAGGGTTCAGCCCCAAGCCAGGGGCTCCCTGAAGCTGTCCCTGCATCCCCCCCTGCTCTGCCAGGCTCAAAGAAGCCAATTTATAAGCTCCTATTTTGGAAAACTGGTGGTGACTCTTAAAACCACTTGTGGTAACCTGTATCAACAAGTACAAAGAAAGAAGAAGGTGCAAGGTCCAAACACCAAAGATCCTCCAGCACAGCCTGGTGATGAGCTTGTGGTAACACTCTGGACCTTGGCCTCAGTTATTCAGGCAAAAATAAATTTCTCCTCACCTGTGCCAAGGGAACATGTCCTGCCCATTCCTCATTTCATTCCCTGTCATGGCTCTGCAGCTCATCTGCACATCACTGCCTTGGTCCTTCTGACTCTTCCCTCTCCTCCTGGCACTGACCCACCTGCCTTCACACAGCCTGGGGGTCCTAAACAACTGCAGGGTTTTATGGTTACAAAATAATACTGACAACACAGTCAGGGGAATTAAACCTATACCCAGCTGCTACTTCCGACTTACACATGGCCTGAGAGTAAAATAAAACATTGTTTTACTGCAAAGAAAATGTCTTCTGAGTAACCTTTGTACCTAATGGTTTGGATGTGTCTTAATATTGGGGGGAAGAATATTAGTTATTTAAAATAATTAATTCTAGGTATTTAAACGAACAGTTTGTAAATTCCCTATCCCTGGAAGTGTCCAAGGCCAGGCTGGACAGGGCTTGGAGCAGCCTGGGACAGTGGAAGGTGTCCCTGCCCACGGCAGGGGGTGGCAGTGGATGGACTTTAAGGTTCTTCCAACCCAAACTATTCTGGGATTACATGAACCTATGATATCTCACTTTCATACCAATTAGCTTTACTTCTCCAAATATTCATTTTCAGAAGCTATTTATTCTCCAAAAGTTACTTATTTTACAATTCCCAACAAAACAACACCAAGCCAAGGGCATCTACAAAGTGTCAAGGAACTTTTGGCTCTCCCTGTGCCTCAGGTCAGAGTTTGTTCTCCAGCAGTGGGAGCTCTGGTACAACCTTCCCCAAACCTCCCTCCACCTTAATAATCCAGTGCTCACATCCAATTAAAGTAATGAGCAATCACCCTTCCAGCAATGACTTGTGCGTTTCTATTTTCAAAAGGGGCCTTTTCTTGTTTACCTTCTTCCCTTTACACATCTCCCTCCAACCCACGCCAAAACATCAGGGAGACCCCCAAAGGAAGCGTGCTGCAGATGGAAATGTGAAACTCTGGAGTGCAGGAGATGGAAATGTGAAACTCCTGGTGCAGATGGCAGTTCTCCTGGCCATGCCCAAATCCCTGGCTCTCCTCCAGCCTGCCATTAACTCGACTGAGGGACTCTTTGTTTTGGGAGAGGGGAGGACAAAGGCAGCTTTACAGCTTCAACATGGCACCAGTGAGTCTGGAGGGACAGGCAGCTTCTTCAGGCAAGAAAATTACAGAGCTCATTGCAGCAGCTCCACATAACCAAAGAACAATGGAGCCATGGATTATGCCATTATTTATGCACACAAATCTCTCTCCTACACACATCCCGTGCATCTGGAATAAAAGCCATGCCATCAAATGCAGAGCTGGCAGAAAACAAGCTTTCCTTCAGTGAGAAGGGTAAAGAGGATGACAAGCATTTGGGGGAAAAAAAGATAAGCAAGGCAAAAAGATTCTTAATCTTCCAAAGCGTTCCCTGTGGTTTCCTAGGCCTGCCACACCGATTTCATTCCTTGGAGAAGAATGGTCAATTTTCATTTCTGCTTTCTGAATGGCTGAGGCAAACAACAGGAGCCCAGGGCCAGGAGCTCTGTTCACACAGAGTATCAGCACATCAGCAGCTGTGACAGGATCAGCTCCCAGCTCCAGCAGGATGGGAAATGTTTTGGGGGCTCTGGATAGCTAAGGAAGAGCCAGCATGCAGCTAGAAGACACTGCTTCCATTGGGAAGGGAAATGTGGGGGTAAGAAGGAATTTTAGCCTTCCAAGAGCGAGGTGGGGAGCCAGGTAGCAGCAAATGGGCCAAAATTATTTTGTCTAAAATTCTTCTATTCCTCTTACATTAGGGGAATGGGGAAATTCCTTAAGGTAACTATGTCTGAGAGTTAAATAGGGCTTACAAAAAGTCTGGAGAGGGGCTTTGGACAAGAAATGGAGGGACAGGACACAGGGAATGGCTTCCACTGCCAGAGGGCAGGGCTGGATGGGATATTGGGAAGGAATTGTTCCCTGGGAGGGTGGGCAGGCCCTGGCACAGGGTGCCCAGAGCAGCTGTGGCTGCCCCTGGATCCCTGGCAGTGTCCCAGGCCAGGTTGGACATTGGGATTGGAGCAGCCTGGGACAGTGGAAGGTGTCCCTGCCATGGTAGAGGGTGGAATGAGATGATCCTTCAGGTCCCTTCCCACACAAACCAGTCTGGGATTCTGTGATCATTTGACATTAATAAAGGTATCAAAGGTGGCCTGCTATTTACTAATAGACTTTTCCAGCACTGACACCCTGATTTCTTCAAGATCCTTCAAGGATTCAAGGCACAGCAGCTTAAAATTCAGGCATAAAGTTATATTAGAGTATTCTAAGGGGGTTCATTGCTCCTCATCAAAACTTCAAAGCACATTATTCATGGAGATCTATGGGATTTTGCTACACAAATACTTTTTTCCAGCACAGATGTTTTTTTTCAACTTACAGATCCACACATGATAGATTCTCTTCACCAGGAACTGGTAATCGATGGGAATTTCATCAGCAAAGTTCTGGTAGAAACATGGTTTCAGAGGGATGAACTTGGGAAGCGGTGGGAAGTTATTCACCTTTTCTGGAACACAGAACACAGATTTCAGCTGGAAGCAGAAATGTGTCATATCCCCCAAACCTTCCCAACACTGCTGCATGTTCATCCTGTCCCTGGACCACAAATATTTTGGTTTTCTTCCTCAGCAGTGGACAGGACATTCATTCTATTACACACAGGGCTGAGAGAGGGGAATAGGAACAAGCTAAGAAACATCACATGGATTTAACAACTTTACACATCAGTGTGAAGTTGTGTGAAAGGTGCTACAAGAAAATAAAAACTTAAAATAAGCTCCAAGATGAACTTCCTCAGGAAGGGGGAGGTGTCAGCAACATCTGGGGGAAACAGCTGCACAGAGGTGCTCAGTTACAACCCTTTAGAAACCCAGAGCAAGAGGAAATAAAGGCTGGGGAGTGTCCAGACAAGCAGATTTACCTTCAGCCACCAGCTTTGGGTAGGCAGGAGCAAGTCTTGGCTCTGGGTCAGGCCTTAGGACATGTAGTAGCCTGGGAGAATAAGGAAGGGAGCCTGAAGGCATCCCCAAACTGGAATTCTGTACCCAGGTATCATCCAGTTGAGTGAAATAAATCAGATGTTGGGAAGGAATTCCTGGTTGTGAGGGGGGCAGGCCCTGGCACAGGGTGCCCAGAGCAGCTGTGGCTGCCCCTGGATCCCTGGAAGTGTCCAAGGCCAGGCTGGATGGGGCTTGGAGCAGCCTGGAATAGTGGGAGGGTTTGGAACTGGACCAGCTTTAAGATCCCTTCCAACCCAAAACATTTTGTGATTCCATGATTCTGTGTCAGGGATGATCTTGTTTTGAAAACACACAAGATTTTTAATGGAAAAAGTTGAAGGTTTTCCTGCAAGGTTAAGCCCTAGGAAAAAAAAAAAAAAAAAAAAACCCAAAGAAAAAAAGAAAAAGCTTTGCATTCAGAGACAATAAATCAGCAAATGCTGCCAAAAGCTTTATGGTGAAGAAAACCCTACCTTGGGAAGAATTTCTGTTTCAAAATCAAGTAATTAAATGCCTGAATCCTCTGCTGCTGTCAGCTCCCAGATTTATCTGTGTGTGCCTGGATGTGTGCTCCTACATGTTTGGGAATGTTTGCTCTTGCCTTCCAGAGCTGATTAAAGTTTGATTCCAGGGCATTGTGACTAATTGTCTCTAGCCTCCTTCAGCCCCAGTAAACAGAATTAAAAACAACCAGAGGAAGAGATGAAGAATGTCCTGGGAAAACCTCCAAATGGCTCAGGAGACAAGAGGAAATGTCTGAACAAGAGCTGTCAGCACAAGAGTTCCCCTTCTCTTCCCATTATCTCTGGCTGAGGAGACATTTTGCAGGAGCAGCTCCTCAGCTCTGTTTGAAGGTTGGCAGGGAAGAGCCTAGAGCTGCAGCCAGGCTTTAGGAAGGAAAAAGGCTTTCCCTCATGCATATTTTCACACAGAAAATATGGTGAGAACGCCCACTGGGAATACATCAGAAGTAGCTATTGAATAATGTCTGAAGTCACCAGCCCAATTTAACTTCTCCTGATAAAAACAAACATCAAATCTTCTGCCCCTCCTCACCCACCTCCCTTAAACCCATTTTATATTAATTCAGATGCCCCTCCAAGCTGGTTTGAGTTACTGGTTAACATCACTGCTGACTCCATCCCATGGAGAGCTGATGGCCCACGGATGTTTCCAAAGTCCACAGGAATTTGGACTCCTTTGCATTCATTTTTTGTTTGCTGTAAACACCTAATGGGATTTCTCCTGCACAGTGTGTCCCTGCAGCCTAGAAAGGGATTTAACAATGCTGGATCAAGGGAAAGGGAGGGGACACAGCTTTTAAAGCTGAAAGGACAGGTCTCTAGGGAAAACAGTAAGACCAAGATTAATCAAATGCAATAAAAGCAGATTCTCCAACTTTTTTTTTTTTTCTGAGGAATGAGGAGACTTTTTTTTTTTGTCCCTGTCTTCAACAGCTGAAGCTGCAGATTGTTCCTTTGGTTCTGCTCTCTCCCATTTTCTGTCTGGACAGCAGAGCTGCTGACAGTTCCCAGTGCAGAGTTCCCACGTGGTGGGGCCAAAACCAAGAAGCCACTGCAGTTTGTCATTTTTCAAGCTCATAAAACGGTCCAGTCACTGCCATGATTGTTTGCTAGGTACACAAAGCTGGGGATTACACCTCTTCCTTGCTGCTGCCAGGCTGCTGACCACCTCCTTCCACCCAGAGACCCTGCAGGTCCCAGCTGTTCTGGGTTACTTCTGAGATTAGACAAAATAAATTAGATTAAATATCCCCTTTCATGTCTGACTGCAGAGCTTGGAGTGCTACAGTTCTCTCATCAAGGCTGGGATCAACACATCAGATCAGCAAATGCATTCCATGCTTTCAAAAACCAAACTGCATCATCCATGAGCAGCAGCTGGAGGCAAATTCCAGGCTTCCCCTTATTTTAAAAAAAGTTGGAATTTTGTTACTAATTTCACTGCAAATTAAATTCAGATGGATTAATGTCAATAGCACGGCTAGGAACACTGTGGAAAGCCTCTGGAAAAAGGAATTATTCTCATGTACTTTTTTTCTGAATAAGTTCCACCCTCATAAAACTTTCAAGCAAGTCACACCTGAACCTTTTTGACTTGAGCAGAAACCTCAGGTGACAGATCAGGATACAGCAGGAAAGTGAATGTGACCAAGGCAAGAGAAGTAGCTGAAGAGCTTTAGGGGTCACCAAGGTCTTGGGAAGGGACACAGGTCACATTCCTGACACGTTACAGCCACACAACATCATGAACACTCTCTGAAACCTCTCTCCCTCCTTGCCCTATCTGAGGTGCTCTTACCTGCCATTTCTATACTGGTGTTCCCTGGTGAGTTTCAGACAGAGCAACAGATCTGTTGGAGAAAGAAAATCAGGTCAGCACATGTCACTAACCAGCACCCAGAGAACCTCCTGGAACTGGGAATGTTCCCAGTGTGTGACAAACAAGAGCCTGGGCTTCCCACTACAAACTACTCGTGTCAATCACCCAAAGGATGAGAGCTGGAGCCTCCCAGAAAGAATCCTGATCTCTGCTTGTGCAGAGGAAGCTCTGGCAGCACCTCCTTCAGCCACTTGGAAGGTTTGTATTATCCAGCAGCAGAGAAATGTGTCCCTGGCAAAGGCTGAGGATGCTCAGGGAGGCCCTGCCAGAACACCTGCAGCTCTCAGGGGCAGCCACACAGGTCAGGGTGGGACCCAGCAGAGCTCATATATTGGAAGAGAAATGTGTAGAGCTCACCAAACTTAATGCCTCATTTAGGTGTTGAGATGATTTGTAGGCTCCTGGCTCTCTGCGGTGCTTCCCAACTCCTGGAACAAACAGATAATCCCTGTTAGCTGGGCACTAAACTCCTGATAAACAAAAAAATAATCAGCTGGAACCAAACCCAACATCCCCTGTTATTTTAGAAACTCTGCACAAATGCAGATTCATTCTTCCTGTTACCACCACAGAGCGTGGCTGTAACTCTGGCAGAAGCAAACCCTGGGAAGTTTACCCAGCATCAGCTGTGCTGCTGATTTTGGCAGAGCTGATCCCACAGATGAAATACACAGAGAGGTCTTTGCTGAACTGTGATTCCACCCCTTCTTCCTTAAGGATAAAAACACCATGTGTCCCTACCTGCAAATCCCAGAATGGAAACAGAACACACAAACCAACCCTGCAAACCAGCACTGTGGGGTCTGACAGAAATTAAGACAGTCTAGACTAAAATCTGCCCCTAAAAACACTGACAGCAGCTGCAGCAGCGGGGTCAGAAGAGCCACACTGTATCCAAATCCCTCAGGATTTACAGCAGCTGCTTCCCCTTTGCTGCACCTCCCTGCTGTCCCCCTGTGTGCCCCAGGGAAGGTCTGGAGGCTGCAGAGTTTTGCACTGGCATAGCTGTTTTGTTGGGTTGCTTTTGCTTTTCATTTGATCTACTCTAACCCAGCCCGTGGAGAAAACAGCACCCAGGACTGCACCAGCAGCCTGTTCTTCCTCTGCAGAGATGTACAAGCTTAAATATGTCTGCACAGAGAACATATTATTTTCCTGGACCAGAGTCTAGGAAGCCCCAGAGTGTGGACAGCAGGCTCTGTCCCCTGGGAGCTGCTCAGGGATCCAGCCCTGCCACAGCTGAGGCCTCAGGGCTGTCCCTCAGCACCAGCACTGCCCAGTGCCTGACACGGTTTTGTAACTGATGGCTTGGAAATGGGAGCCTTTTACTTATCATTTTTCAAACATGTGAATAGAAAACAAAGGATGAAGACAGTTAAGAAAACTTAATTAAAACTTCACCCCACCCTTCTGCAGCTGCTCTAGATTGAGATCTGTGAATTTTGGGTGGAAAACAAATGGCCCATGAACACCAGCTAAAACAAGGCACTAAGAGAGAGGAATCATTTACTGAAAAATGAGCCTGCAAATAAGGCCCTCCTTCACAAGAGGATTATTTAGCTACTGCACTTCAGTATTGGTGTCCAACAGCTGCAGAGAGGTGTCTGCCCACTGGAAAAGGGATCAGAAGGAAAGACTGAGGGGGACATTCCTGGCTTGACAGAGCCAGACAATGGGTTTCCTGCAATGGCCAAACAATGGTTTTCCTGTGCCCTTCTCTCAAGGAGACCTGTGGTGCTGTGGAGAGGCTTTAACTCAAATAAATAAAACCTCCAGACAAAGCAGCATTCTGGTGATGCACCCCCTTCCACAGAAAGATGTGGTCGGGATCCACAAAGCAGCATCAAGAACATTTCTTTCAGCAAGGATAAGCACACATGGCCATGTTTTACACTGAGCAATCACTTCCTGAGAAGTGCTGACCTTCCCAGCTCCTGGTAAAATGATAGGGAGTTTCTTCCCAACAATTTCTTCCCAATATCCAATCTAACCCCGCCCTCCATCTGTTTGAAGCCATTCCCCCCTTGCCCTATCACTATACCCTCTTTTAAACAGTCCCTCTCCAATACATAAATCAGATCTCTATTCATCTAAATATCTTCAGTTTAATCGAGAATAGGTGAAACCCAACACCCTACACCCATTGCAGAGATTTTCCTCATCAATAACCCACTGCTTGTGGAGGGAGGAAAATCCCACACATGGCAAGGAAACTCTGGTGTGAAGTGAACTTCCTTTTTCCACTGTATTCACCCGTGGTCAATGAATAACTCCGAAGTTCACAGTCCAATGCACATGACTCAGGAATCCACTGGAGACACTCAGAGCTTTTCTTCACCAGAATCTTGCAGACAAAATGCCCTGTGTGAGTTGCAGGGACACCACTTCCCTCTCAAACCAAGACATGAACACAAACAGTGCTGTTTTTCTATGCAGACAACACCATGATTCCTTTGAATGTGACTTCAGTGTGAAACACTCCACCATCTCAGCTTAGGGAAAAATTTGTGAAGGAATACATGTGAGAATCTGCTTTGAGGCATATTTTGAGTATCACAGAATCCTGGAATACCCTGAGTGGAAAGGGACCCCCAAGGATCATCCAGTCCAGCCCCTGTCCCTGCAGAGACCCCCCAACAATCCCACCCTGAGCATCCCTGAGAGCGCTGTCCAAACGCTCCTGGAGCTCTGGCAGCCTTGGGGCCGGGACCATTCCCTGGGGAGCCTGGGCAGTGCCCAGCACCCTCGGGGGGAAGAACCTTTCCCTGAGCTCCATGCCAAGCCCTGGCACAGCTCCAGCCCTTCCTGGGCTCCTGGCCCTGGCCCAGAGCAGAGCTCAGCCCCTGCCCTTCTGCCTCCCCTCGGGAGGAGCTGCAGCCCCCGAGGAGTCTCCCCTCAGTCTCCTCTGCTCCAGCTGAACGAGCCGAGTGCCCTCAGCTGCTCCTCAGAGCTTCCCCAGCTCCGTGTCCCTCCTTTGGACACTTTCCAACAGCTCTGGGTCCTTCTGATCTTGTGGTGCCCAAGGTGCCCCCAGCCCTGGAGGTGAGGCTGCCCCAGTGCAGAGCAGAGTGGGACAATCCCTCCCTGGGCCTGGTGGCCCTTTGGGCTGCCAGCAGTGACTCAGATCCAACTTGCCACCCACCAGGACCCCCAGGTCCCTTCCCACGGCGCTGCTCTCCAGCCTCTCATTCCCAGCCTGTCCCTGCATCCAGGGCTGCCCCATCCCAGGGCAGGATCTGACACTTGCCCTTGTCACATGTCACATGGCTGGCGATTGCTCAGCCCCAGGGTTTGTCAGGGTCTCTCTCTGTGAGGCCTCTCTGCCTTCCAGGAGGTCAGCAGTTCCTCCCAATTTAGTATCATCAGCAAACTTAGTGAGTATCCCTCCCATTCCTGCTACTGCAAACGTTACTCCTAAGTCCCCTGCTTTATTCTGCCCTTATCAAATAGTTTTAAAAGTTTGTTATCGCTCCCGACTGTTTTTTCCACTACCACAGAAAGGTGGCAGAGAACAAGCAAAGGCCAGGTCAAAAGAGGAGCAGTGACAGGGAAGTGGGAGAGCTGAATTCATTCCTGCTTTGCCATAAACCCACCAAGTGACCTAGAGCATGTGCCCAAGACCAGATTCACTGGACAAAGGCTCCTCTTTCGCCCTGCAGATGTCCCAGCCAATCTCAGAAGAACCCAATATCTCAAGTTTTCCATCCAACAAATCCCCTAGTTTCTGAGTTTCTTGCTTTAGGATATTTTCTGTACTGCCTTTATAATTTCATTCTGTTTTGATGACTCCGCTCCCAGAGAACAAGTGACAGGACAAGAGGAAATGGCCTCAGGTTGAGGGGAGGTTCAGGTTGGACATCAGAAGGAATTTCTCCATGGTCAGGAGTAGTCAGGGATTGGCAGGGGCTGCCCAGGGAGGTTTGGAGTCCCCGTCCCTGGAGGTGTCCAAGGAAGGCCTGGATGTGGCACTCAGTGCTCTGGGCTGAGGACAAGGTGGGCATTGTCCACAGGATGGACTCGGTGACCTGGGAGGTCTTTTCCAACTTTAAGGACTCTGTGACTCTGCAATGCAGCAAGGCCAAGAGCTTCTACACAATCCTGTACTCCAGGTTTCATCCAGAGCACTTTGCCAAGAGCAAACAGAGGAGCAGGATCCCAGCACAGAGAAGAAGTGTGCACATTCCCTCATCAATAGGGATTTAACGATGGGAACACAAGAAATGAGAAACCTGGGCACAACACACATCTCCTGACAGTGGTTCGAGCTGAGTCTTTGGGGAGAACCACCAGACTACCAGGCTTTCAGAACCCATCCTGAGCCAGCACACCCCAGACCTTCCAGAAGAGCCTCAAAGGAACAAGACCCCCGCAGGGATCCAGGATATCCAGGTTTGAAGTCACCTGGCTCAGCAGGGAATCAGCACAGACTCCTGTGCTCCCAGCACAAGCAAACACCTTTCTCATGATCTCTCCAGTTGAATTTAAAGACAAAGTGGTGGCTCTGCACTGGTTTCAAGACAAAACATGGGGTTTGAGCCTCTTGCAGATGCCCAGCTCTTACCAGGAACTTCCCAGAGAGCCTAAGGCAGCAGCAGCCACTCCAAAACAATCAGCTCAGCATTATAAACCCAGAAGTGACACAGCTTGGCTTTGGTGGTGTTTCCTCTCCCTGACGCACCACCAGCCCTCAGAGGGTGGGACACTGTCCCTGCAGTGACACAATCAGCCAAAAAATAACTCCAAAAGCCACCCAGCACAACCAGGGAGAATGGGGAAACTGTATGGCAGCAGTGCCCTGAGAAAAGGAGCAGAGAACAGTGAAGTTACAAGGGTTATCTCCCTCCCACGTCATTCCAAGATCAGCTCAAAATTCCAGGAGCTTCGTGGGGACTCCTGGCTATACACGGACTTCTGCTGCCCCATCTGCCCCCATCCTGGAGCTGGGGAGACAGCAGAATTGGAAGCAATTCCCTCAAGTCTCCCTCAGCCTGTTTACACAGCCCTATACTTGCTGCCTCAGCAGATGAGAAGGAGCCTTAATTTGCCTATGCAAAACTCACAGCAGACAAATATTGATTTTGGTACAACCACATCCAGAGGTGAAGCGTGGCCGTTCAGGAACAGAAACTCAGATGGCTCAAGAAAACAGAAAGCACAGAAACACCCGTGCTTCAGACAGAAGCCTGTTCCACCCCTTGTCACCTGCTCAGACTGGCCTCACACAGAAGAATTCGACTGCAGACAGCAGCAAAAATATTAATTAGCCCAGAATAACACTGAAATGGAGATAAATCAATCCACCAATTGCTTAATTTCTAACCCACTGCTCTGTTCATCACAGGTTCCACAAAAGAGTTTCTTGAGAGAGTTACAAAACACTGAGACCAGAAATTAGAAAGGGAAATTAGAAGGGGAAATAAAACTACAACATCCAGGTGCTGTCTGTCGAGGGCAACACACACATCTGCGGTAGCTGAACCACATAGACCAGAGAAGTTCATCCTCAAAACCCCCGGAGAATTCCCGTCAGGAACCTCCCCGGCGGGAGCAGGGCGGCCGGGCAGTGTCACCCTGTCCCTCCTGTGTCCCCCCGAGCCGCGTCCCCAGGGCCAAGCCGGGAAGGAGCCGCGGGAGGCAATTCCCCAGAGTCCCTGGGGAGCGGGGGGAAGGCGGCAGCCCCGGGGCTGGGGGCACACGGGACACGGCCCGGCCCGGCCCGGCTCCTCCCGCCCGCTGCCCCCGATAGCGGCTCCCAGCGGGGCCGCCCCCGATCCCTCCCCCGCCCGGGCTGTCCCCGATTCCTTCCCCCTCACACACGACCCGTCCCCCCAGACCTGTCCCCGATACCTCCCCAAGTCCAGCCTCCCCATCGCCCCCTCCTCTGTCGCCCCCGGAGCTGCCCCGTTACCCCTCCCCGGGCACCCCCCGTTACACCCCCGGGCTGAGGGAGTGTCACCGCCCCCCGGAGCCCCGCGCTGCACCACGAGCCCCCGAGATCATCCGCGACCCCTCCCGGCCCCCAGCTCCTCCCACTCCCGGCTCCCCCGTCCCTCCTCCGTAGCCCCCTGCTCCCCCTCATCCCCCAGACTCACAGTTCCCTCCCCTGCCTCGGCACCTCCCCGACCCTCAGCTCCCCCTCCCCGCCCCCAGCTCCCCTCACCCGCGCTCCCCCTCCCCGACCTCCGTCTCCTCCATCCCTCCGCCCATTTCGCCCCCGGCCCGCCCGGTGCCCCCGGCCCGATCCCCCCGCGCCCACCTCAGCGAGCGCCCGGTCCCGCTCCCCCCGGGCCGCCGCGGGGCGCGCTGGGAAACAGAGTCCCGCCCATAGCCGCCGCCGCTGCGCGTCCCGCGCTGTGGACTACAACTCCCGGAGTGCCACGCGGCGGACACCCGCCGCTGTCATGTGATGGGTAGGGCGGAGGGGAGGGGCAGTGGTGCGGGACGGCAGCCGGGAGGGCCAGAATTGTTCGAAGTACCGGGCCCGACCCCGCCTGGCGCTCTGCCGGGGAGAGAGGGGAGATGTTCTCCCAGATGTTCCCAGATGTTCCAGGGGCTGGGACATCCCTGGGAGAGCTGGGGGTGCTCACCTGGAGAAGAGAAGGATCCAGGGAGAGCTGAGAGCCCCCTGCAGGGCCTAAAGGGGCTCCAGGAGAGCTGGAGAGGGACTGGGGACAAGGCATGGAGGGACAGGACACAGGGAATGGCTTCGACTGCCAGAGGGCAGGGCTGGATGGGATATTGGGCAGGAATTGTTCCCTGGGAGGGTGGGCAGGGCTGGCACAGGGTGCCCAGAGCAGCTGTGGCTGCCCCTGGATCCCTGGCAGTGTCCCAGGCCAGGCTGGACATTGGGATTGGAGCAGCCTGGGACAGTGGAAGGTGTCCCTGGCCATGGCAGGGGTGGCACTGGATGGGCTTTAAGGTCCCTTCCAGCCCAAACCATTGTGGGACTCTGGTACACCTTGGTCCCGAGAGCACATAGGAAATTAAAGTTTTTCCAATTAAAGACTTTGAAGGATTCACTTTCAGTCTCACTCTTTGCTAAAATTTAAAATCACAATTTCCAGCATTGCTAGCTGGTTTTGGTTTTGTTTTTCTGTTTGTTAGTTTTTTGTTTTGTTTTTTTTACTTTGTAAAACATACTTTATTCTTCTTCCTGTAAGTTTTGTGCAATATACATCTATGTACCCATAGAAAACACCTCAGTAAAAAGGTTGTCATTCATATATTACATTACTTTTTATTTAATGTTATGAACAATTCTGACAACAATTTTGTCCTTAAATGAGTATTTCTTCCTCCCTGCCTTCCCTTCCTAAACTGGTCAGAAAGAGGAAATTTGATTTAGTTTATTTGTTTTCTTTTCTTGTCCCTTCCAGCCTGAACACTTTTCTTCGGTTCTAGAGCTCCTTAAAGTCCTTACTTTCACCACATTAGACTCCTAAATATAGGTAGGGATCCCTCTCCAAAGTCTCAGCTCTGCAAATCCTCTTAATTCAGGTGTATAAAACCCCAACTCGACTTTAAAAAACATTTCCAAGCGCCGGGACCGTGGTTTCTGTCGGTCCCAGCTCCAGGGAGTGTGTCGGGCTCATCGCTCTTAGCTGAGCAAATGCTGAGACCTCTCTCTGAAAATTTCCCCTAAAATTTCCCCAAACCCCACCAAGCCTCCCTGGAGCCCAGCGCGCTCAGCCGCTGCCCGGGCTGGGCTGTCCCGTTTTGCCGGGGATCGTCCCCAAAGCGGGCACGGGCACTGCCGCTGGCTCCAGGATTTTCCAGCTGCGCAGGAGTTTTTGGGAAGGAAGGGCCAGGTCTCCTGTTCCCATCCATCCGGATCATCTACGTGCAGGGAATATTTTGGGTGTGAACCAGCAGAGGTCACTCGGCCCCAGTAAATCCGGTGTTGCTGGACCAGTAAGGGAGGGAGCGTTACTGGGGGACAGCGGGGACCGGGGGACCCGAGGAGGGGACACCGCCCGGGCCACCCCCAAACTCCTGTCCCCTGTCCCACGGGATCCCGTCCCTCCAGAGCCCACCCTGATCCCGCCCTTCAGCTCTGAAACCTCCTTGACAATTCTCAGCTTCTCCCTTGGAGCCATTTTTCCCGAACTTTTTTTTCCTTTAAAGAGGATCTCTTCACAAGGAATTTTTAAATGGATTTGCCATGCTTTAATTTATTATGTTATTTTTCTGAAATACACCAAAGAAACAGGATGTTTGAGAGGAAAAAAATACACATTTTTAAAAATGAAAAACAAAATGTCAGTGTGCAGCAATCCAAGGGTGGCACCCTCGACTCTGGTGCTCCCATATCGGACACAGGGTTCCCTGGATACCCCAGCTCCACTCCCTCCACCCCCAAAGTGGATGATAGCCTTTACCAGCATCTCCACAAGCTGTGCCCTGTTTCAGGCTGTTCCCAGCTCTTGGGAGCTGTCAGGATTTATCCAATATCTGAGCTCCAAATGGGTTGGAAGGTGGAGGAGAAGCCGTGTTGTCCCCTGGGAATGGCTGAAGGCAGCAATGGGAGCTGGCATTGACTGACCCTGTTGCCACAAGGATCCCTTTTCATTATTTCCCTCTGCTCCACAGCTCCTGGACATCCCTGCTGTGCTGCTGAGGGACCCAGCTCGGGATCTGCACGAGCAGAAGGGAAGGGACACCCAGGAGAGATTCCCAGGGGAAGCAGAAGGAAACGAGGATGAGAATTGCACGTTTCACACCCAGTGATCCCTTTGGCCTGTCTGCACCCAGAGCAGAGATTCAAAGAATCCTGGAATATTCTGAGTTAGCAGAGACCCTCAGGGATGATGAGTGCAGCCCCTGTCCCTGCACAGACCCCCCAACAATCCCACCCTGAGCATCCCTGAGAGCGCTGTCCAAACGCTCCTGGAGCTCTGGCAGCCTTGGGGCCGGGACCATTCCCTGGGGAGCCTGGGCAGTGCCCAGCACCCTCGGGGGGAAGAACCTTTCCCTGAGCTCCATGCCAAGCCCTGGCACAGCTCCAGCCCTTCCTGGGCTCCTGGCCCTGGCCCAGAGCAGAGATTGGTGCCTTGCATCCTTGTTAAATCCAGGACATCCATGAACATCCATGTATAATGCCCTGGAATACCTGGGGTGTTCTTTCCTTCCTAGGACTGGGAACTGTGTGAAAATGACTCTCAGATGATCCTTGGTTGTCCCTGATTCCTTCCCATGGATGCACCATCCCCTCAGACCTGTCTCCAGTCTCCTGCCCCAAAATGTGTCCCTGGTACTTCCAGGTGCAGTCCCTGTCCCTCAGCTCCAGGGGTTAAACAGGATTCCCGGATGAAGAACCTTCCCAGACCTCTGCTCTTCCTTGGAGTGCCCAGGCTGGAGGATGCACAGGGGCTGGGAAGTGCTTCCAAGGGCTCCAAACCAGACCCACCCTCACAGGGCACTGCTCCAGCCTCCTCCTGGCTCACTTTGTCGTGCTCTTGGCATGAAGTGTAGCAGTGTCTGAAAGCTACCCTTATATCCAAATCCTGCACAGGATGGATGGGATATTGGGCAGGAATTGTTCCCTGGGAGGGTGGGCAGGGCTGGCACAGGGTGCCCAGAGCAGCTGTGGCTGCCCCTGGATCCCTGGCAGTGTCCCAGGCCAGGTTGGACATTGGGATTGGAGCAGCCTGGGACAGTGGAAGGTGTCCCTGCCATGGCAGGGGTGGCACTGGATGGGCTTTAGGGTCCCTTCCAGCCCAAACCATTCTGGGACTCTGTTACAGCTCAGTCCTGAATCCATGGAATAAATTAAAGATTTTTCCGTCACTTTGAGGGATTCGCTTCCACTCTCATTCTTTGCTAAAATTTAAAATCACTATTTCCAACATTTTAATTTTTTTTTTACCTTGTGAAACAGACTTTATTTTTCTTCCTGTAAATTTTGTGCAATATACATCTATGTACCTATAGAACACACCTCAGTAAAAAGGTTGTCATCCATACATTATATTACTTTTTATTTAATGTTATGAAAAATTCCAACAACAGTTTTTGTCCTTAAATAAACGTTTCTCCCTCCCCTGCCCTCCCTTCCTAAGCTGACTGGTCTGAAAGAGGAAATTTTATTTAGTTATTTTCTTTTCTTTAAAAAAATAGAAATTACAATCTTACAAGACAGAACATTCAATGAGAACAGAAGCATTTTCCTAAATCTAAAAAGTAAAACATTTCCATAAAACCTGTTGGTATCTACAGGTAGGTGTGTGTGGAGGGGTGGTAAATGGAAATAAAAGGTTTTCCATTTCTTCCTTTCATTCATAGAGATAAAAAATAACATAAAACCGACTGAAACTTTATATATTTTTCTCTTTTGCACCAACATTCACAAGAATATATATTATATATATTTTTGATCCATCTTTATACACAGTGTGAGGGTTCTGTGGGTGGAAATGGACACTCAGCTAAACTGCCAAAGCAGACAAACAAACACTAAATTAATCTTGGTCTGGAAAAGAGCCATCGCTGGCAGCCGGGGCCGCCC